TGATGAGTGAGCGATGCGTCCGCGTGGACAGCTGCTATACAATAATACATTTCCATTTACCTCCTCTATATCCATACAAAATATCTATCAAACAAATAAAATTAAAATTTTCTTTTGAAAAATGAAACCATTCCATCAGTATTTTCTTATGACGTTGTCACGTTCAACTATCGTCAGTAAACCGACTTTACAGACAACCGATTTTTTTTAGTTCTTCTAGTCTATTTAAAAAATATCAAAAATAAAGATTATTTAGATTTAAAAATTAAATGTTTGAGAAGTGTGTGACACATTTTTAGATCGACCTATATGTAACGATTCCCTCGTGTAATGGTTACCGTAGTCGATTTGTTCGGAAGCTCTCCTCGATAAATTATGCATGTAATGTTCCCTTGCTTCTATAATAGGCTGATATATTCAAAGTTTATTCTCCTAACTTCCAAACAATTTGCCATCCTTCGCTACCGATTATTTGGATAAACGTCATGAGACATGTATGTAAATGTCTTTCTGAAGGCTAAATGATGAACATTAATTTTAGAACTAAAGCCTCTAAAATTCAAACCGTTTGAAACTCTTTATACAACAAATCTAAAGTCGTTTATAAGAAAAGCACATAACAAAGAGGCCACTCTTATTTTATGATGTGCTTTTTGGGAAATTCCTATAAAGCTTTCTGCTTCTACCATCTTAATACTCCAGAGGGTTTGACTGTACATAGACGAACGAAACCGCTTATCTAAATGTAAAATTGCGTATCCCTTCGAATGACAAAGTCAAAGGGGTTTGCCCTGTTTTCGAAACTACTAAACCTAATCCCATTCAATAATCCTTTAAAGTATCCCTGGTGGAATTATTTTCTCTCTAGTTTATAATCCCACTTTGACCCTGCTAATTTAGTTTTAAAAGTTTTTGCTTATTTGATCACGGTTTGGAAAATTTTAAGCTTATTATATAGTATAGGGTTGTTCGGAAAGTAATTTCGTTTTTTTTGTGGAAGTGAAAGACAGTTTTCGTATAATAAACAAATACTTTATTAAATTATATATTGACCGTTCTGGTCCAACACCTTTTGCCATCTTTCTGGTAGTAGCATAATTCCACGCTCATAAAATTTTTGGTCTTTGCTGGCAAAAAACTGATCGCCTCGGTTTTTGACCTCCTCATTTGAGGTGAAGGTTTTACCGTCTAAAAAATTTTGGAGTGACCGGAACAAATAATAATCCGATGGTGCCAGGTCTGGAGAATATGGTGGGTGTAGCATTGTATCCCATTCAAGCTGTAAAAGCTTTTGGCGAGTGACCAAACTTGTGTGAGGTCTCGCGTTGTCTTGGTGAAACACTACACCTTTCCTGTTGATTAGTTCTGACCTTTTCTGTTGAAGTGCATCATTCAGTTTGTCCAGCTGACGACAGTAGACTTCCGAATTAATCGTTGTGTTATCCGGTAACAGCTCAAAAAAAACGATTCCTTTAAAATACCACCAAACAGACAGCATCACCTTTTTTTGGTGATTATCGGCTTTGGAAATGGTTTGAGCCGGTTCATCTTTTTTGCTCCATGACCTCTTGCGTTTGACGTTGTTGTATACAACCCATTTTTCGTCCCCAGTGATGATGCGCTTCAAAAACGGATCATTTTCTTGACGTTTGAGAAGCGAATCGCAGACGTCAATGCGGCGACACAGATTTCTCTCTGTGAGAACATGGGGAACCCATACATCGAGCTTCGAGGATAATCCCAGGCCTTTCAAGTGGTCATAAACTGTTGAATTTGATAAATTTAACCTCAATCCGATCTCACGTGTTGGAAAAAACGAAATGACTTTCCGAACAACGTTATAGATACCCTACTTTGAATTAAAATGCTCCTTTTACATACCAGTTTATGCAATTGCCTATTTAATAAGAACGACAAGGTGCAAGTAACATTTAGACAACATGAATTATTCATCTGACAGATAAATCAATCAAAATGGAACATCTATCTTACATAATATATTTCCAAAGGAAAATATAAGCCTATTACCCATTAAGTTCTCTTGATTAAAAAAATGTCTTGTACGTAGTACATATCGCGTGGTTACTTACAAGGAGTGTCTTTGTATACTACATAACGTTCACGTCACACTTTGATGCTCTCATTCCAATTACCTATATTATGGCCCTTCATCAATTTGATTACACATCGACAGCCAATTACGTTAATAATAATTATTAAGAGACTCTTTGAAGCGCTTATTAGCTTCCAATTTGGAGATGACGCCCTCTCCGTTGCTAAGAACTTTTAATTTGTAAAGCGCGTGGAAATCAAAAACGTCCTGTCTTTGAAACACTCATGATATAAAGGAAAGGTATATTTTACGACTTTAATTTGATTGAAAAATTGAAATATCCTAATACACAAAATGGATCCAGTGAAAGCTCACCCTATAGTCCAGGCAAGACGCCCAGTGACTACTTGTTTCTTAAGTTGAAGAGCATTTAACTAGGACGCGCTACAGTGATCATAACAAAATTAAAGTAGCTAATTGTTTATTGAAAATGAACTTTTTTTTATTTTTAAGATTAGACGACCTTATTTGTGGGATTACTCGTCTATAGTCCAAAGAATAGCTGCAATACTAATAGAGCTTTTATAATGTCTGTGAATACACTATACCTTAAATATTTATTATTTTTTCTTAATAATTTTGACTCCCCATAGACACTACCTTTTAATACCCTGTAAATAAAATTAATTGAAAAATCTCAGTTTTGTAGACTATTGTACAGGTTTATCTGCAATTATAGTTTCATTTCTGTCATGTCGCATGTCACCCACAATTTTTTTTTACTTTTTTGGATAGAGTACGAATTGTAAATAAAATTAACATTCGTAGCTATCCTCGATTCATAAACGCATGTAGGTTGGACTGTTTACTAACATTATATTTACTTCTAATTGAAAGAATAACGACCATTTACTGAAGAAGGTGCCGCTGAACGTAGAGTACGAAGATGGTAACATATACACGTTTCGACCTGAATATGGTTTCATCAGGAGCGAGAGTATTCATTCAAGAATTCAATCCAACAACGAGGAGTACCATTTTTATACATGTGTTTTCTCCAGGAATTGGAAAACGCAAAACAGATCGCTTTTGCTATCAGTACAGAGTACGTAAAAAGAACGTTTGAAAAGAGTTTACTTTAATAAATACTTATACAATAAAAATAAAGCAAAAGGCACTGGCGGTTGGCAGTTTGAACAAGAGATTTCGAAACTCAGGGCAGAAGATATTTGAAGAAATATAGATTATTGAGCGTTGTTGTTTTACAAGATACGTATAACAGTAGAAATAGGTACAGTAAAATTATTGAGAGACTGCGATTACGTCATCGACATAATCTGTACGAATCAATTCACAAGGTAATGGCTACATTGTAATTTTCTGGAGCTGTCATTCTAATGACCTAAAAATATTATAATAGGTCATAGATGTGGTGGTCGCTGAGGTATACTTCGTTTACTTTCTCTAGCGATGTGCCCCATCTAATGTCATAGATGCGCACTGGCAAAATCGGAGGTAGGGAGAAAAAAGCTCATTATACTCTCGACTCTTGTACATTAAACATACTTTTTCGTACAGTACTTGCCAAAAGTATTGTTCAATCATAAATAGTAGTGCGTGTCGAAAAGAAGCTTTAAAACCTTTAATATGTCTTCAAATATAAATAAACATCTCGTTGGTATTTTCAGTAGTAATTGGTATCAATAACAGCACATTCGAGCAATGCAATTTTAGTGGATAAAATGGTCAATTTTTCTGTGCAGTACTGTACGGATTATACGCTCCTCACCGGTTGAGAGTTGTTTCCTTCCTTTTCTGGCCTAGTGCTGTTCTTTTCTAGTTTGCGCCGGTCAAGCTAAAGGTCACATCGCTAGAGAAACTAAACGAAGTATATTAAGTTAAATTTAGTTAAGGTTTGAAGGAACGCTATATGATTCAAATGACCACTGTACAATTCCGTTGGTATATTTGTCTCTCAACAATGTTACTATATGCTGAAATACTATTACCACACACATGAAACTGTATCAGTTATCGACTGGTCTACAAGAACGTACTGTACAGAATGAAGTGTTATTTCAAAATCATCACAAAAAAGCCACTACTTATCAACAAACTCAACTATGTTACTCAATTCTAATTAACGAATGTGTTAAAACTGCTTAAGAATTTAATTTGCTTTAAGTTGTACGAGTCTAGAGGAGGTTCTATATCTGGTTCCTAGACAATACGAAAAGATGGAGAATGTTCCAGTTAATAAACCTCAACCCCTTGCAATTTAATTTAAATGTTTCAGCGCAAAACTCAGTTTTGCATATAAAGTATCTAGTTAAGTAATTTCGGTTGAAACTGCCAACAGTCATGTTTTGTTACAGATGGACGAAAATGAGTTTTACGAGTTTGATCCCAAATACGGTTTCTCGCTATACATTAACGATGAATTTACACAACTTTATACTTGTTCATTTTCATTGGGAAATGTTTCTAAAGAAATTGAAATTTATGTACATGTAATACGTAAGTACATCGATCCGAAAAAAAAAATAAATGGAAGGTGATGGCATCTTGGTTACGGTCAATGTAGCTTGCAGTCAGTTCTTAGTATATCTGTCTTTGCTTTATAGTGGTTTAATTGAATCTACAGCTAACAAACGAAACCTTTATACGATACCTACTACAAAAAAAGACAAATTTTACAATCTTTTGCTTCAAAAGGCATCTATCTAAATTATTAATTTTGAAAATGTGTATGCACAAACGAAAACTTCTATTTATTTAGCCTAAACCCTTTCCAAAATGAGTTGTTATTTATAAAAATCCGAATATATTATGAAAATTATCCCATTCGATTCGTTAACACTGAAGGTTGCTTTTAACATATTTCTACTCTTTTAGATTTTATTTGTGTCCTACTGTTAACAGCTTAATTTAACTTAGTCCCTTTAGTTGTGTTAAACTTAATATACGAATTGGGAAAGACTTTTGGGTCAATAATTGCAATAGAAATCAATTAACATTAACAACAAGGTGTTTTATGTGTTATCACTTTATCATTTAATTTGAAAAATCAATATCCTTATGAACCTGTTGAACATTTTTGGATTCCACTAAAGGTGGTAATATACTACAGATGGCGTTTACCACGCTGTTAGTAGTGATTCACGATTTCAATATCGATGAACTTAAACCCTTTTTAAAAGTCCTCCCGAATCAGTATAAAAAACTGCTTAATTTTCATATTTTTCTTGTGAAATAATCACTTACTTACTTACTTTATTATTTATGTATTGCTTCAATGTATAGATGTACTTAAAATAACTACAAACGCATCTAGGAAGTAAATAGCTTCAAGATCTATGTTTACCATAGCAAAAAAATTCTTTTGTAAATTGATGTTTTCTTATACATTTCCAAGATGCGTTCAAAAATAATTCGCATTTTCTAATTATTTCTTTTGCCTTAAAGGAAAATCACAAGAAGTTGCTATAACATCTGTTAATGACTTAAATAATGGTCATACAGTGGTAGGAGAAACTTTGAATCTGTCTTGTGTCATACATACCGACGGAAGTTTCGCTCAGAGCTGGTTACTACCAAACCCTTCAGCTGAAAAGGTGAATATTCTGTCGCCAGGTAACAGTCGAGAGAAACGTATATAGTATCATTTAATGATACCGTTTCAATGTATCAATCAATGGTTCGTTTTTGCGGTAGTAAAAATTTAGACGGCGAGCTATTCGGTCGACCAATCCGAACTCGCCGAATGATGCAGCTAGAATGAGCAGCAACAGATTATTGATCCCTTCAGTCCTTTGCGTTACATTGGTGGAAGGGGAAAGTTCTATTTCGAGCGTCATCAATGTCAACGTTACCTAACAATTGAGCAAGTGGTTTAGCTTGCTCACTAATGAGAAACCGTTGGAAAATGAATTCTGTTTAGAAAATAAACAATTATAGCTACTAATTTTGAAAATATGCACTCCTTACGTGAATTAACCACAAAATTTTGCTACTCGGATATCATATATTTTAATGCTCAATAATTATGTAAAATTGTATTGCAGGAAAAGAGAGTATTTAACCAATCATCAGATATAAGGGCAGAATCAACGCATATAAGAATTTTAAGGGTTGTAAATACAACCCTTGCAGACAGAGGGGTTTACACGTGTGTCGTATTTGACCATTATAATAGAGTTGAATCAGAGTATTACGTAAATATTTATGGTAATCGAATGCAATAATGATAAAAAGTAGCAAACACCTAATAAACTGTTCCAATTTAAGATACTGACGAACATTATTTGGAATTACATGAAGACAACGGAGTGTATGAAATTTCCGCTCTTGCAGATACCAAAACTTCTGTGACATGGTCCATAAATGTTACCGCCCATCCCGTACCTAAATTAGTCTGGTAATATTGTATCTATTTGATATATACGTAGTTGATAACAATCTAATACATACTAAATTTCCAGGTACAACAACAGAAACGAAATAATATTAGGAATGGACGACTTTTTAGGAAAATACAACATTACAAATCAACCACATAGAGCAACTCTCCAAATAAATGACGTTTCCATTTCCGACAGAGGTTATTACGAACTAATGGCATTCAACAATTTTGAAAAGAAAACGTTGAAATTATTCTTGAACGTGTCAGGTATACCGATGCATTTGTAAAATTGAACTGAATTTTTGATTTCCGAGTTTCCAGGAAAACCCATTCTTAATTTGGAGAAGCAAGATTTCTACCTCATAAACAAACCGGCATTTGCTAATTGCTCTGTGTCAGCATTTCCCAAGCCGAGAATTTATTGGACGCTGGAAATGTGTCCAGATAATCCATGTAGCTCGCAACGTGTACGTATAAGGGAATGAAATTAAAAAAATAACTAAAGTGCGACATTCGTTGTATTCCTATTTAAGTATAACGATTTCTGTCAACTGAATTAAAATAAAATATCATCATCATAAGGTCGTCAGTTCTAAGACTGGTTCGACACGCCCTTCCACTCCTTCCTAAGTTGAACTAATCTTCGCATTTCTCAAAAACTAGAATAATCTACATCCTTAGCTATTTCCGAGCAGTAATCTAGTCTAAGCCTACCTCTACTCCTCTTAACTCCCGTTTCTTCCTCTAATATGTCTCTGACTAAACCTTCATGCCTGAGAAGGTGTCCTACCAAACTATCTCGCCTATTTCTTATTGACTTCCATAGAGTCCTCTGTTGTCCTATTCTTTCTAATACCTCATCATTTCTAACTTTCTCTATCCACGGTATCCTCATCATTCTCCTGTAACACCACATTTCGAACGCTTCTAACCTTTTCTTTTTCGCCGCGCCCACCGTCCATGTTTCGCACCCATACAGCGCCGCGCTCCAAACATACATATTTAACAATGTTTTTTGAATTTTATAATTAATTGTTCGCGAGCATAGAAATGACTTCTTTTTATTGAATGCAACTTAACCCTGCGCTATCCTCTGTTTTATATCCCTACTACTCCTTCCATCCTGACTTATCTGACTTCCTAGATACCTAAAATCAGTTACTTCTTCTAATTTTTCGTCCTGTCTTTACATTCGCTCTTTCCCTACTTTTTCTTCCCTTACATACCAGAATTTTTTATTACTATAATTTATTTTCATGCAGTTCTGTTTTGTCAATATCGCTTTCATTTTATTTAAAGCTATCTCTAACTCCTCCTTGCTGGATGCCTTATACTGCTATATCATCAGCAAATCTAAGCATACTAAAATAAATAAACAAATTTTGAAGTAAACTTATTGTCATTAACAACTGTTTGAGTGACTTCTATTTCGCAGGAATACTTTTAGAGAATAACAAATATTTTATCGTATATATAAGGAGAATCTAACAAGCAAATACAACTTTTACTTTAATTTATATTATAGATATCCAGCTTGGAAACGGAAATCAGTGACTTTGAAATCATATCGACTGTCACAATTGTACCACACCACTCAGGAAAACTTACTTGTCATGCCAATAATTCATTAGGAGACAGTAATATTACTGTAAATTTTGAAGTTACTGGTAAGTTCTTCAAAATATGTGATATAAAGATTAACAAAAATTGTCCCAAAGAGACAGGGCATCGGGAATCGTCCAATAGAGAGATTAAAAGTGATAAAAAAATATTATTGATTTACCTATTATAACTAATAAAAAACATTTCACAGTATTTTATGATAAAAGAGACTCAACAATTGTTTCGACCATAGACTATTATCAAGAGTAAATAGTAATTTACATCTCTCTCCCTGATACTTATCGATGAAATGACATATTTATTCAGATACTGTCCAGGTAGAAAACAGTATTTATTTTCTGAATAAGTTATTTCCTCTTTTGATAATAAGGAGTAATGAAACCTAGCCAGATATTTTTATGTATTTTATTCTATTAGTTACAAAAACGTTTCACAGTCAAAAGTTCTAAACTGATTAATTAATTTTGTCAAAAAACAGCTTAATTTTGATCTGACATTTAAGTAGGTACGTAGTAGGTAGATATGATTTTTTTTATGAAGAACGTATTGGTTTTGCGAAAATGAGAGACCAAGGCCAAAACTGAACGAGCAAGACGAAGACTAAAACTATTACCGAAAGGCTAAACGAAAATTTATTACTTGCGGTGGATGTATGAGTTAAACTATTTGAAGCAACTTCAATACATTCTTTTCTTGCTTTACTAGATTTTAGCACTAAATATAAAAAAAAACATTACCATTACTTGAACAAAACACAAAAAAGAATTTTCAAAAATACTCAAACTCTTCAAAACCACATTTAAAAGAACAAATAGCAATTAACAAACCTATATGTGCAAGGTGTGATTTGTAGATGTGGAACACGGTTTCGCTCTTTGGAATCCTAACGATGATTTTGAGACAAACGGAACCGAAACATTTAGTACTGCCGTTTTGGGTGAAACATTAACACTGTTCTGTGGAGCTACTATCGGGTACTACTCCAACAAATTACCGTGGTATTTCATCAATGAAACTAATGAAATTGAAATGAAAACAGATGACCGTACGTCCAAAAAATAGATTGCTTTTTAACTTTCACATAACTGACTTTTTATTTTAACAGATTTTAGAATTGATAGAAGCTATACGAAATATTCATACCGTTCGATCCTTACAATTAATAAAGCGCTCGCTGCTGATAAGGGGAAATATGAATGTAGAGGTGAAGAAATATCGAATGATATTCGAACCAATAAAATTGCTCAGGTATATCTTGACTTCAGAGGTAAGTTCTATTTAATAGATATGGTAAAGTGGGTTAATGGGAACAGCTAATGAATAAAAATTAGAAAGAGAAGACTGTGGTAAATATTAATTAAAAATTAAAAGGAATATTCACCCCTAATTACCACAAATAATTTTATTTGAGCGGACACGTGCTTCGCCCACTTCATATGTGGGCATCATCAACGCGAGACAGTCAGTCAAACACGTGTGCGCTCAAATAAAATTATTTGTGGTAATTAGGGGGTGAGTGTTCCTTTTAATTTTTAGCTAACGAATATTAAGCCAAAAACGCTAACACCTTAATCGAAATGTAGTCTTTATTCAAACAAAAATAAAAGAATTTAATTGTGGAGAGACGATTACAATTTTTACAAAATTGCTTTGCTTCTCTCTACTCCCTATTTAAATACCGCTTAGGTAAAAGAGAAAATAAAAAATATTTTTGTTACAGAACCAATGGCTCCAGTAATAATTCAAACGAATTTGAACGAAGAGACTTTTGAAACGAATACACCGGAAGAAGTCGAATTTTTCTGTTTGGCAGAAGGAAATCCAAAACCGAAAATAATTTGGTTAAAGGTTAGTCGATATAAATAATTTAGTAGATAATAAGTATATATGTATCTCAGTAGGGGCGTACATAAATTATGTAAAGCAAATTTAGGGGAATCTAATAGAACGTTACGTAACGGAGAGGTACGGGGGGATGGGTCAAGCCACGTGTTATGGTCCCGTGACGTAAAAAAGGGTCAAAAATTGATTCGTTTCACTTTTAAATTATAAATTTATTAAGTTTCCATTGTGACAGATTCTTCATGTAGTTTATACGTAATAATGTAACAAAACGTTACAGAATTAATGAATTGACATCTTATAATTTGTTTTGGAATCTACTTAAAATTGGATACTAATGCAAAAACTTTATAAAACTTCCTCTAGGATGACAACTATCTCTGGAATTTGAATCAAACAAGGATAAAGGTCGTGGATCACAATGAGCGCCTCATTTTTTCCTACACTCTCTTTGAAGACGAAGGAAAATATACGTGCCAAGCACAGAATAGATACGGAATTACAAGCAAATCAGTTACCTTAAATTTCAAAAGTAAATAATCGAAATTTATTAAACATCTTTTTGTGGCTAATTTACAATTTTAATTTTAGATAAATCGGAAATAATCACATACATAATAGCAGGGGTTGTTGTATCAGTTCTTATTCTAGTGGCTCTCATCATTGCTATTATTAGAGAACAGAAACAGAAAAAGGTAAGTCGCCATTTTTCCGTCAAAAAAATTAAATAAACAATTATTTGTCTACAGTTTGTGCCTTTTTTAATTTGTAGAAATTGATGCAAGAGTTAAAAAGCATCGGACTTATGAATTTCGAAAAAGGCGCATTGGAAAATTTAAATCCCGAACTAAGAGTAGATGATCAAGCGGAACTACTACCCTATGACACCAAGTTTGAATTTCCTCGAGAAAAATTAAAATTAGGTACGCTATTAAATTATTATTATTTATTGGACAGGGTTCAATATCGGACATTATAGAAACTCAATTATTAGTGCAGTAGTTGATCGATAGCTCGTTTACTTTACGATGAGGCAGAAGTAGAAACTTCCTCCCTCAACCACGCATGCGCACTGCGCCTTTTGCCACTTCTCAGTGGTAAGAGGACGCGCATTGTTGCGTCCGATAAGGTCATCGTTATCGTCTACATGTTAGAAAACATTAATAAATTGGAATAATTTTTATTGGAAAAATCAAAATGTATCGAATAGTTTTTCTTAGTGCGCGTACATCAAGGGACATAATCATTTTATTTGTATGGATAAGTGTTAATTTAATTATATGATATTGAAGGCAAGCAACTGGGTGCCGGCGCTTTTGGTATAGTAGTTAAAGCGGAAGCTAANCGACATAGCGCTCAAGGAATTCCTGTGACGCCCGGTACGCACTATCAAACCAGAAGGAAGCACTTTTTTTTTAATATTAGGTGATAAGGGTTTACGGGTTTATTTATGGTTTTCTCATGTATTATGAAAATAATAAAAGGTGCAAGAAATGGCAAAATTTATGTATCACAGCTTTTCAAAACTTAGCTTTCAATTTTTGCAAATGGTTTAAAATAACCCAGTTATGAAAAATCTACGTTAAAAATTCGAGGGATTGTATTTTAATCGTAACAAACAACAACAAATATGTACTGTATTTGATGTCTCACCAAAGGACGAAGGAGAATTTTACACATCATAACCGGGAAGACTCAACTATTGTAGCGGTTAAAATGGTAAAGAGAAACGCCGACGCGTCTCACATAAAATCGCTAGCTTCAGAACTCAAAATAATGGTTCACTTGGGCAATCACTTGAATGTGGTTAACTTATTGGGGGCCTGTACAAAAGACGCAGCAAAAACCAGTAAGACAACTTTAAATAAAATACAACAACAGAAGTCTTCGAATAATATCTTTGTTAATTTTAGGAGAACTTTTAGTTATTGTTGAATACTGCAGGTTCGGAAACATTCACGATTTCCTCATAAGGCATCGACAAAATTTCATCAATCAAATCGTGAATTTTATAATTAATTGTTCGCGAGCATAGAAATGACTTCTTTTTATTGAATGCAACTTAACCCTGCGCTATCCTCTGTTTTATATCCCTACTACTCCTTCCATCCTGACTTATCTGACTTCCTAGATACCTAAAATCAGTTACTTCTTCTAATTTTTCGTCTCCTATCTTNGAAACATTCACGATTTCCTCATAAGGCATCGACAAAATTTCATCAATCAAATCGACCCAAAGACGAAAAATGTCGATTTTTCTATAGGATCTGATATTCTACAACGGACATTATCTGTTTCAAGTAACAGAAGGTAAAAATTTGTTATAAATATTAGTTTTTATAGTAGCATTATAATTCTTGACAATATTTCACATGTGCATGCAGCGATGCCACTAGTAATTCTAACGAATACAGAGGAGAAAACTCAGCAGTTAGTTGCGGAACAACACAAACAATGTCAACCACATTAGGAACTTCACCTAACGGAGACTCAGGTACCCTAAACGCCCTTAATAATGTCCCTTTATTGAAGTACATTTCTCTTTTTTGTTTGGATCTTTTAGAAGATCCTTTTGTAACAAGTAACAACAGTATTCAACCGGAATGGAGGTCCAACTATAAGGGAGATTACAGAGGAATCGTGAAAACAATAGCCACCAGGGACCTGATATCCTGGGCTTTCCAGGTGGCTAGAGGCATGGAATACCTAGCCTCAAGAAAAGTCCTTCACGGTGATCTCGCTGCCCGAAACGTTTTATTGGCTGATAATAACGTGGTCAAAATTTGCGACTTTGGACTAGCCAGAAGCATCTACAAGAGTGACAATTATCAAAAGAAAGGAGACGTGAGATATTAATTATTTTTATAATTCCCGAAAAAAGAAGAAGTAACTGGAAATTGTTTTTAGGGTCTACTTCCGGTGAAATGGATGGCAATTGAATCAATTCAGGACAGAATCTTTTCAACCCAATCGGATGTTTGGTCATATGGGATCGTTTTGTGGGAATTGTTTTCCTTAGCCCGCACGCCATATCCAGGAATGGAGGCCAACGAAAGGTTGTACCAGAAACTCCTCGAAGGATATAGGATGGATAGTCCACAATACGCATTCAAGGAAATGTATGTAAACTATTATAATACGTATTACTTATTAAAGGTTGCCGTTTAATTACAGATATCAAATAATGTTGGAATGCTGGCATCCAAATCCTATTTGTCGACCATCTTTCACGAAATTGGCTCACGAGATTGGCCTTATGTTAGAAGAAAGCGTAAGACAGGTAAGACTATTTAAAATTTGAATAGTTTCGATCTGACAGAATTAATAATTCAGACAACGTATTAGTATAATTATTTACCTAAAGTAACAATATTCAAAATAGAGTAACGTAATTTTTTAATTTTCAGCATTACATCGACCTAAACGACCCTTATCTAAAAATGAACACTCATCGTCTGGAGAAACAGGAAGATTATTTGGCCATGTTGAGTCCACCAGATTTCGCAAATCTGTCTTCTCCAAACCACTACATTAACGAGCCTACAATTAGTGACACAGCGAGTCCGGCGAACTTTGAAAACTCGGGTTATCTCTGCATGAAACCAAATAATATATTTAGTCCATCTCCGCTGGATACGTCAACATTCGTTTTCGACAACAAACGGAAACCTTTGGAAGATTCGAAAAGCGACGAAGGTATCGAAATGGAACCTATGCTAGGAGGAGGCAATGAATCTGATTACGAGAGTCAGCCGAACAGTCCAACATTTGTCAACAGTTTTTCTAACCCAAGTTACCACGTACCACCCAAAATAACGCTTCCGAAGAACAATCTTAATGTCTTACATTCGATTGATAATTATGTAAATATGCCCCAAAAGCAAAGTGCCATTGTAAATAGTACAAACAGTGATTCGAGAGATGTAAGTGATGGTGCTAATAATGACTATACACATAACTATGTAAACAATAGTAGCCGAGACTGGGAAAAAATCATCGTATAAAAAATCTTCATAAATGCCAAAGTTTAGTAATTGCACCACTGTAAACATGACAAATGAATACTCAATCTCTATTAGTCTTAAAGACGGTCATGAAATGGATTTGGAAAGAAAACTTCAATAAGTGATTAAATAGAAAATTTTTCTTGCCATAATTTTTTCCAATCAGATATTAATGAATTTTGGCTAGGGGCCGTTCGTTCATTTCATCACGCTGTTTTTGCAGCTTTTTGGACTCCCCCTTTGGCGTTCCTCGTCGCACAAGCTGTTATTTGTACATTTTTGCTAGTGGTTAATTCTATACAAACATCACGTGCCCCCCTCCCTATGACCACATTTCGTCACGCCCCCCCACCTCTACCCCCTCATCTCGTCGTGACGTAATAAAAATCCCTAGCAATAAACAATTCCTAATTTGATCGATATGCGGTTAACAGTATTCTCAACTGTAGATACTTAATTATTTTAACAAAAATAATAAAGAACGGATACTAATAAGGTATTATTTTGGATCTCGCGTAATTACATAAAATGCCCTTATTGAAGGATAGTCACTGACCTACAAATGGTGCAAATTATAAATATTAAAATATTATATATTGTTTTGTATATTACCATTTTGTAAAATATATTGACAACTAAATGTTTATTTTCAGTGTCTTATTTTGCCATTCGTAAAAACAATGTTGCAATTAAGCTAAGTTTCTTTTAGTTTATCGATTCAAAAATATTGTAGCGAGCACGAGCGTGTTTGTGTGCGATCGGGCACACGTGTGCGTGAACGGCTTATCGATTCGCCGACTAGCCTTTCTTTATGGGCGCCGTATTTGTAAATGTGTGTGTCGTACCTGCGTTCTGGGAAAACAGTTAAACAGTTTAAAGAAAAAATAAACTATCCGGATGTTTCTAGAAGGTTTCCGAAAGTAAACGAAAGAGTATTTATAAAGGAAGAGACTATCGCCGAGAGGGGAAGAAATAAATTGACCGTTGCAGAAGTTAATCCAGGAATAAATTGACAGTGATAGAGGTGATAGTGCAGTGAATAGTGATACATCAACAGTACTATAAATAAATAGAATAATTCATAGCCTAAGTTTGATAATAATTTAATAGTGATTTTTAAGTGCTTTAATAATTAGTGTAAATAAATAGTTTTTGTCGTTATCAGTCTTAGAAGTTAATTTTGTTAAAC